TTTAGAACAATGCCTCTTGAATGCATGAGAAAAACTAATGTTCACACTGGCATGATTCATTCATTTACAAATAAAGTATGATGAAAAAAGTTGAATTTCTAAAATGTTTTTTTATTTACACCAATAACACCTTTAGGAAGTTGTCAGAAGAGCAGATAACTTTTATGTTGCAAAATGTCAAGTTGAATGCATTATAACAGAAATGCATACTGTATTTGTTTAGCAGTGCATGAAAGCCGTTCATGGTTAAAGATTGCAATCTTGATTTTTCTCTTAAGCTTTTTGCTACAAAGAAAAAAATACTGGAAAACAACCATTGGAGTCTGTCTGTGACTTGTAAACAGCTTTGGGGTGCAATTGGGTGCAAAGATAAACAACAAATCTTACTTTCCTTTCTTCTTGAGCTTAATACACAAAGATAAATCTATAGGAAATACAAGCCAAAAACATGGCTTTTATTTGTCTTGCATTGGCGATCTCATTGCAAAGCTTGTTATTCACTGGCTTTTGTCTGTGGAGCTGCTTTTGCCTGAAGACAGCTTAGATACACAGAGGAGTGAGTGTCAGGGGCTGCGTCCTGGAGGAGATGAAATAGAGATCCCATACTTTTGCCAATAGCACAAAGATATTTACAATGAACATCCTCTGTTTCATCGCTATAATGATCTCAACCAGAGGCGTGCATTTCTCACAGCAGCGCCAGCTCATTTGCCAAGTTAAAGCTGTAGACCGCCTCTCATTATGCAGATAGTGTTGACATACCAACCTCTGAAATGCCAGCGTGAATATCTGCCGCCTCCGATGCAATCTATTCGACACTGTACTGATAATCAAGGGCTTACTTGTGTTTCTGTATGTGTTCATGAGTGTGGCTGGTACAATCTTTGGGATACATTTATTTTCTATCTGGGTCTATTTTGGGGAAGTTGGGTTTATTCAATGTTATTCAATGGGGGTAGACTATGGTGGTGCACATTCGTAACAATAGCACCGCTTCACATGCCTTTGCACAACCCACATGTGACCAAAAGAAAGATCTTTTTACTCATTTCTGTTTTGAGGAAGTTCACAGTAATAGGATGCGTTTATGTTTCCAAGTGTATAAGGAGCAATCGAGTAAGTAATCTTTATTTTTATATAGAGTCATAAAGCATTTTTGCCTCTTTCTCCACACAGTGATGGGAGTGGGGTCCCAATACCTATTGTACATGTTTTTCGGGATAGGCAAACCGGAGCGCCTGTAGGAAACCCAACACAGACGTGGGAAAACATGCAAACTCCATACAGAAAAGCCCCATCTGGAGGTGGACTCAAACCCAGGACTTCTTCTGTAAAGTACAACCACTGAAATACAACGCTAAGGCAATTGGAAACAAGACATGTTTAAAAAATAAAATCCAAATGTTTTCTAATCAATGAGATATTGATTAGACTCACAAAGCTGCAAGATTATTTTTGTGTCTGCAAGTCTGCAGGCCAACAATATGCTTTTTTTTAAATATTGTCACCACTTAAATAATAATGTCGCCACCAAAATAACAAGTCTGCAGTTGAAATGTACTGATAAAGAAGATAGTTACATTTGGATTGGCACAGATACATGAGCTATTTTGTTAAAAAAGATTAAACACTGACTTTTTACTACCAGATTTTTAAGCTGCCCTCCACCACAATGTTTAACTATAAGCTCTTTGCAACGTTTTGATGTCAAATTAACACCTCCTATTAAGCCTAATTATATGTTTAACAAAGACAAAGGGATAGGTTTTCACAGACTGCCTCCTAATCCTTGTTGGTGGAAAGGGGCCACGGAACGGTAAACTGATGCTCCATAACACTGCAGTGAAGGGATAACTAGTGTGGTCCAAGCGAGGTCTTTTATTTTGTACAAATTGGATAAAGATTGTGTCAAGATGATGAAGTTGAAACAGCACGATGCATTTTCACAATCTATCTGTCAGTTTTAGATAAATAGTTTAACTCGTGAGACAGTGCTACATGAAGACAAATCTAGATTTAAATTGACACCACGCCATAAAAGCGTAACAAAAAATGGATGCAATTTCGCTGCAGTGTTCTCCTCTGTTTATCCAAATGCACACGTTTTTCTTGTAAGTGTATCAACTCAAATGCATTTTCAGCCTATTTTCCAATTCAATGAACAGTTCACGTCACAGTGCATGGCCTTTGTGACAGCCCGGCCTGGAAACTGGAGTCCTTTTGCGTGTTATTTCTTCTACATTGTGTTTGTCGTCTGTCACATGCTCAACATGGTATGGGAGAAATAGGATCACGTCTTTCGCAGCTGAGCAGATTTGCGGCGCACACTGGGATCACAGGCGTTTCACTTGAAGCCGTTTTGACTTTTATCGCGTTCATTCACTTTGCAGAGGGAGGATTTGCATTTGTTTTTACGGTCTTAGGTTGTTTGTAAGGACATTTGCAGGTTTAGTCAAAGCAGCTAACGTCGTAGCAAAAAACAAAAGTCACACAAAAGAACTTCTGAATGATTTTCTCGACTAAAGCTGGGGGTTTTTTGTTTATAAATGATACACGATGACAAATTTAACAAGCTGTCTTCATCTCATTAGAAAACATGTCATATTTTGTGCACCTGTGAGGACGCTTTGGGCTTTTCTGTCTGAATAAATTGATTTAATTGTTCATTAACTTATAATTTTTTTGAATTGTTCAAGTATTTCAGATACACATCCACAGACACTAAGCATGTCAGGGAGATGTTTTATGTATGAGATATACTGTATGCACTAAATGCACATGGGCAGCAAATACTGTATATGACTATATATATAGCGAGTAGGATCAAAACTTTGTCCATGAGCCCTTCCCTATTAGACTTCATTCCGCTAGGGGGTTTGCAATGCACATCTATTTACAGTCTATGTGTGGAACAAGGCAATATCAAGTCCATGGAGATAGCTGTGGAAAATGAATCCAATTAATGAGATAAATCAGGCGTAGACCACTAAACAATTACGTACATTTTCACCAATTGATATTATGTATGATCGTTTTTCTTTGCTACAATTACAACTTACTTTGCAAAATTATATTTACATAGTTTGACATGGCTATGGTTTTATATTTAGATTGTAAAAACCCTAGAGATCAATTATTTCCAGTGGTTCGGAGAGCAGAGCAGTTTTATTTCTGTTAATTGGCCGTAGTTAATGTTTGGTATGAGACTTTTTGATAATATTGTAAAATCAGTGCATTGGGTCAGGTCATAACTGCTTTGTGAACTAATATGAAACAGCTTAACATGATTTATCAAAGAAAGAAGAGACCAGAGTCAATTACCGACACCCCGACGTTCAAGTATCAAATATGTCTGTGTGAAGGAAATACAGGACACTCTTTATCTGCTGGTTAGAGCACTGATTGTAATGATGGCAGTATTACAACATGATTTGGATAAAAATATGATAAAGGGCAGAAATATTACCATGTATTCATCCAAATTCAAAAGCGGACACTGTCTTTAAGCCAAATTGTGAAGCAATTAACTGTGATAAATGGCCGTTGGGAAACACACTGTGATTTAAAGCAAGGGAAATATTAGGTTGTTCTCATAATGTCACTAATCCGGGGAGAATTTATGATTTCCTAGTAATTTTTCAAAGAATGTGAAAGATGAAAGATTTTTTCCACTCACGGTCCGTGGTTGGAAGAACTAATTTAGCGTTACTTTAATAGCTATTCAAAATCACCAGTGTCGTTTCTGTTGAAATTATACAATTATTGAAGAGAATTACTGTGACCCTTTTAGGACTTGTTCAGACATTTTATGTGAAATAGACAATAGATGGAGCCCTCAGGTGGAGCCAGCACAGTGTATACAAGTCCATAACAGTAATAAATACATGAAAAATTAAATGTTTGTGAGAAGCCAGGTGGCTGTATAAAAAGTGTTATTGATTCAGGAGCAGTTCTGCTACTTTCGCACCAAAGGATTCAGATTTATAAAACATCAGATTCATCAATTTCAGAGCATAAAACATACAAAGTGTAAGCATGTATTTTTTTGTGTGTCAGAACTTCACATCTAAGAGCTCACATTACAGCCAGTTCGGAAAGCTAAGGATTTCACAAGAAGATCATGCCGTTTGCCACAGATGAGCATTCAGAAGCAAAACATTCCTCATCTGGAGTCGTGCCAAAAGGAGAAACTGCTGAAGTTAGAGGTGAAGTTGAGCAAACTTGTTAGTTACAAATAACTCTCCAACTCCTCTCTGTACTAATATTATATTTGCAACTTCTGAAACCCTTTGAACGCTATATTTCATTTCTCTGACTTCTATTACTTACATCACTGGCACCATTATCATACTGTGACCTGGATTATTCTAGGTTTAAGCTGACTGTGTTTATGCATAATTACAGTCTGGCCACCAGGGCTGCATTATCCAAATCATCATACATGGTTTTACAAAGGGTTGACTTATTTGTTTGGAGGCAACAACAACAACAACAACAACAACTATACATTTTGGATTCTCAAAAAATGCATTTACGAATGAGAAAGTTTCAGTCAACGCAAAACAATTTTAATATCATGTGCGAAGTCAACCAAAATAGTAATTGTGATTGAGATAAAGGCTCCTTGAAGTGGGGAAAGTAAGAATCATGAACTGGTCCAGGACGATGACATCTGTGCTGCATTTCCTGATCTCTATAATGGTGTGACATGTTAGTACCATATGAACCAGTGAGGAGCATAGGGTCTGGCCTTCTGCTGGTGCCCAGAGTCAGGACTACATATGGAGAGGCAGCATTAAAAACAGTTTTGTTTAGCTGTGCATACAACTGAATGATTGTATATTCACTCTTTTGAATGTACTGTGATTATGAATGATTTCAATCCCTAGTATGATTTAAAAGGTTTCTTGTTTTGTTGATCACATTGAGTTGCCTTTTGTTGCCTTGTGTATGAACAGTGCTATACAGATAAACTTGCTTTCCCTTGGTGTATGGCCTACCTGGTGGCAGATCTCATGCACCACCACCATGGTCAGCTCCATCTGGTACGAGGATGAAGACACCTCTGCGTCCAGGAGGATCTTCTGCTCCACAAAGACGCTCAGGCCCCAGTTCTCCATGGCAGCGTACGGATGTTTGGGCACGGCCAACAAGTCTGACAAGAAAAACAAGAGAATTTCATTGTTACGTTACAACTCATGTGTCTCATTAACAGCTTCACTATGGGCCGTATCCAGCTGGAATTGTGCTTTTTAAACGAGGAGCGGGCGTGCAGGCTGGAAAGATGCTGGCGAGTGAATGCATCCCATTTTGGGTTCAAATTAAACCCATGAGTCATCTTAACAACCTGCCAAAGGCTCCCCTTATCCAACAACACGGAAATATGTTTCTGATGTAAATGACCACTGTTGTAGGAGGAGTGGGAGTGAGCGAGAAAATGCAAAGGCCAAGAAAGTGGGAGTGTGCTCCACCTGCACGTGAAGATTTATTTGAAAAGACATGGGGTAATTAAAGGGCTGTCTTAAATAATGTGGTGCAGAAATTAAAGTAATCCATTAAAGGAGCAGCAGCTTAGAAACACAAGAAGCACTGCGACACATTATTGCTGAAGATTTACTTTGATTTGAACTTTAGCTCAGCTGGTGTGAGCAGAGAATTGTTTTCATATAGTCAAAGAATCAGTTTTTATTATGATGCCATGATTGGTTCTTTGAGTTTCTTGTCTGCTACTTTTGTTTTACTGTGTGTTCCACACTTTGATGCAGGATGTCTTGCGCCCTTCATTTATTACTCAATGAAACCAATTTATTTAAGAGGACAATATTTTTTTATTTCTAAATTAATTGAGGTATTAACCTTCTGAATCAGGGCTGTAATATATGAGTTCCACTTTCAAAGCTAACAATGTATTCCAACAAGATCACACCATAGTGTCGTTATAATTCTTAACTTTGACAGTGATCGCACGCTTTGAGACGCTCTCTGAGGTGAGGCTAACACCTTTTGGAATGAGGAGGGGCAGCCAAATTACATTAACATTATTTTCTAAACTCATATTTTTGTACTTAAACTTTTAGACGTACACATAGTTTATAGATGGACAATACTAATCCTCTAGCTCAAAGAAGCCATGGACAAAGTTCTTCTCTAACTCGCTCTGGATCCTAATAAATTCCTTGTGCTACCCTCAAGATGACAAGAAAGCAATGATTAAAAATAGAATACAAATACCCTAAATTACAGCGGTCTAAATTATCCAGGGTCAAGTAAGGTAAAATAATCCAAATATGATTTCCAGGGTATTTCTTACTCACTGTGGGGAGTCAAATCCCGAGGATAGAACACGGGATAACTTACATTGAAAAGTAAACTCCTCTAGCTCAGTCATCCCCACAATTTTTTTCTTAAAATCCATCCATCCATCCATCCATTTTCTTCCCCTTAATCCATTTCTGGGTCGGGAGGGGGGTGGCAGTCAGAGCTGCACCCAGTACACAGAGCACCTGCCCCTTAAAATCCGTGGTTTAGCAAATCAAGAAATAAGTCATGATTGACCAACCAGATGATGTCATTAATGGGTGAAACTTCAGCTTTCCTTAGCAACCACTTTAGTTACCTATTTGCCCCTGTTATGGCACAAAGCTAACCCCATCAGAACAAATGCCCATACAGTATAAGGAAATTGGCACTAGCTAGTTTATTTTCAAAACCTCATCTTCTGCATTAGGAAAACACTGTGGGGTCAATCCACTCCTAATATACGGTATTTGGTAAGAATATGGCAGTGATGGTTTAGACACTTCCATATTCTCATCCTTTTCCTGCCTTGTTGAGTTGGAATTCCTTTTATATCACTTTGAGATTAGAGATTGTCTAAAATAAAAAGTCTTAGTAATGAATAAACACTTTCTTATTGAACTTTCCGTACACTGCTTAGAATCCAATTATACTTGCACACACCCTGAATGCATTAGATCTTGCCCTTCACTAAATTGACCAGTACAATGAAAAAACATATGCACAAACACGATAATAGAAGCCAACTATTAGCTAGGCAGAATATGTAATCGAGTTCAACATCGAGAGGAGCAGCGCTGATTAGAGCAAATGAAAAGAGCAGGTAAAGGGGAACAATGAAGCCTGATTGTTTAAATGCAAAAAAAAATAAAAAATAATAGACGTTTCCAAGTGTTAAAGAGTTCACAGCCTGATTTGAAATTTAAATTACCAAATGCCATTCAGGAGGTACACATCTTTATCAGTGATACAGCATGACAGGAAAATAATTCATTCAAGGTTTAATCACCTTCGCTGCTCATGCTGTAAAAACAACACGAAACAAAAGCTGGAAAACACAAACATGCAGTTGGAGTCTTTTCTGATAAACCGTTATTTTCTTAAAACAAATAGAACAAAACACTGCAGGCACCTTTTTGAAAACCTTTTGTTTCCTTCTTAACATAAAATACATACACGCTGCTGCCAGTCTTTCTTTCATATAAAGAGTAGGTAAAGGCTACAGCAGGGAACTTTAAACAGTGTGCTTTAAATGAGTGTGAAACTTATTTGCCTCTATACATTCCTTTTTAATTGAGAGCAAACAATACTTCGATAAAACCCCCACTGACTGAGATTTATCCTAAATATTTTCACCCAGTCTTTGTTTGTAAGCACCTCTAAAACAAACAGCTCCCTCTGGCAGCTGTCAATCACAACCAGCATAAACGTACACAGCCTCAAGTAAATGTCAAGACATGACTGCATTTGACCAATGTTTGGCCTTTTCTAACTTAGCATGGACCACGCAGTGCAAGCTATGAGGGATTGATGCAAGCTTTTTTTAAGGTTATTCTGAAGATTTTGAGCATATAGTGGAAATGGAGAATGTCAATTATGATTAAAGAATATGGTTGAGAGCTGAGGTATGTTTTGGTATCTAAAACCAAGATAGTTCCACAGTGGTATGGTCCGGTGTCTTGTTGTTCTCACTTTAACCAAATCCTGTGACATCAACCATTCTAAACCATAAAAGTCAGAGAACACCAGGCGTAAAACTGATATGACTGATGTGGAATGCAATTGTCCAAACATGAGACAAAAATTAAGACAACAAAACAATCTAAAATTATTTTGAGTTTATGCAAGAGTTGGTTCTATAGATACCCATAGACCCCACCCGCCAGACGCACCCATCGTAGCTACACTTCAATCGGGGAGGTAGTCAGGTGATGGGTCAGGTGTTTAGCTGATCTACCAATCAGAGATCCAGGAATAGCCAGGTTGATGAAGGAGAGACAGGACAATTTAACCATAGAAAGATCCAATCAAAACTGAAACAAAAGAACAATGAACTACAGGTCTGGGGCCATAACATCTTACTCTTGTGTTGCAAATGTTAACACGCAACATAGTCTTTGAGTGTGGTGGTTACTAGAGAAACGGAAGTCCAAATAGCGATGGCTTCCATAAACATCGTCCAATCACGCATAAGCATCTGCTCCAAGGCAGACCGGTATTGGCTGACAGCTCATCCTTCACATGAGTGCGGCGCAGACTGCAGAACTGATTGGGCGGCTGAAAGGGAACGCAAAAGCAATGAGTTTGACTTTAGGGAGAAAGGCTTTGGTCTCGGGAAGAAAATGTAAATGAGACATTATACTCAATAGGAGCTGGAATTAAACGAATAATTTCACACTGCAGCAGCCAGTGACCCTGGAGGTGATGCTCAAGCTCTGATACCAGTACATGCATAAACTAGAATCAAGAGAAGCTTGTCATTTAGGTTTAGGTTGATCATACATTTGGTCTCAAACAAAAAGAGAATACTACAAAATACTAAAATCTGTTGAGAGAGTGACGTTTTGTTCAAACTCCTTTCTTTATTGATGTGAATTATTTGATCTCTTTTAAAAAAAATTTACTAAACATTTTACATAGACCATTACTCATAAATTGACACCTACCGGTAGATAAATGTGCTTGTGGCCTCACTTTTAATGTACTATATAAAAGGTTAACTAAACATGGGTTGCCTGTATCTTGATCGACAGATGACACGGGCAGTTTTGGTATCCAAAGACATAAAAGGGACCAGATTTGAGACTTCTGTGTGGATAATTCTTCTTTCTAACAAGAGAAACAGATAAACAAATAATGAATAATTTTATATATTTGATTCAAACATGTTGACCTCATCTACAAATTATCATGATTCTTTTAAAGGGGGGCTGTTATCTACTTTGTGTAATTGTATGATAAAATCAGTCCAAGTTTCCAGCCAATAGTAAAGCAACCTCACCCACAGTGGTGTATAGCTCCAGTAACTAAGGACACCATGGAGACAGACCCACAAAATTAAAATCATGTGATATCATTATAAGCCACATCAATTACAATATTGAGGAATTTGATTTGTAAAATATTAAAGTTGCACAAACTGATTTTGAGAAATTTTCGAATGAGAACGCTGAGCTCGCGCTCTCTGCTCGCCCTCCCCACACGGAGCTTTCACCCCCGTCCCCCCCCCCCCCTTCCCCCTCAGCCTCTGCTCATGCTAACTGAATACGGAGCTCACGTCTCACAATATGGACACATTTGAACGTGGATGGCATGACCATAGAATTATTGAACCGGGAAGCGCGGTTCAATAATTCTAATTCTAAAGCAGTAGCCGGTAAAGAAGACCGGGAAGCTTCAGGTTCGCCTCCGCCGCTTGTTTACCTGAGCTGTCTGCGCTAACAAGAGACCTGTAGCTTTTCTCAAGAAAGCGGGGGCCAGTGGTCTGCTGTGATTGGTCACAATCTGGCCCCGAAACACATTATCTTTCTTGTTTCACAAAAACTTGATCTAAAATAAAATGAAAAACAAATCTGCGCTACTTTTTCTTTTAAAGGACGTATATCCCAATGCATTGCATGGATATGGATTGAATTTTCGTAATGAATACAAAAATAAAGTCAGTTAAGACCTTTCAACCTACATGGCTGTAAATCTGACCTGGCCTTAAACCCGGAGGGTCATTTTTAGTTATTGATGATGAGAATCTATATTCAACCATATTTAATGGACAGAGTAACCTGGTGTGGAACATTAGCACACAGAGTACATGGTAAACATCCTCTCCAATTGATTTTACACATCGCATTTAGTTACATT